TAGAGCAACTCATAATGAAATTACAAGTATTAAAATGATAAAATACAATAAAATACATAAGAAAGTAGTACCACAACTCCAAAGCTATGGTGGACAATGGAATCCCCAAAGGTAGAACTTCTCCCAAGACCAAGGGGTTGATCTTGGAATGCTAAAATGGAAGTAAAGTGTATGGAATATGGAATAATCTCTTGAGAGGGCTTCAACATGCTTAAATATTGAGCTCCTAACGGCCATTTTTGGACAAGGAAGCAAGCTCCTTAATGAGGTTTGGAGTTTCTCCTGAATGATTGTGATGACCGTTGCTTGTTTTAATCAGTTCTAGACGAAAGGCGGGCGGCTTTGCCAAAAGCCGGGCGGCTTTTGGTTTAATTTTTTGAATTAATTCTGCAGCAAGGAAAGTCGACCGCTTTTCGCGAAAGCCGGGCAGCTTTCGTTCTTTCTTGCTCCAGACGCCTTTTATTCTCTTTGGACGTGAAAATAAGCTGGGTAAGCAAAGGCCGGCCGCCTTTGGCATAACCCGGGCGGCTTTTGCTTATCTTGTGCCTTTTGTGGACTTCGTTTGTTCCTCGGGATGCGTTTGGTTGAGCTTTTTCCATCGGTTTTCTTTGTGTGTATTCTATCATCCTTGTTTTTGGTCCAATCGTCGAATTAGAGCACTTCTAGCAAAACGAGACATATGTGTGAAGATTTTATTCTTTTTAAGCATAAAGCGTTTTAAGATGAATATATAAAACACGTTAATAAAACGCTTATCAATGGCCCAAAATTGAAATTCCAAATCGAAATTATCTAACACAGGCGCAGGGGAAGAGTCGAGCAGTCCGCTTCTTTCACACAACCTAGAAATCTAGCACACAGCAGCCCTCGTCCATCTTTCACTGCCGGACGGCCAGGACGGTGCACGGTGGCTGAGGCGCTCTGCTGCTTTGCACTCGGACAACGAACTGGCGGGTTAGATAATTTAGAGCTGCTCTTCAATTCCTCAGTGGTAACTGGTAAGCGGAGGCATGCGTCCTAACTCCTGAGAATTGCTACCTAAGTCCTAAGTGCTTAACAAGTATTTTTTTAATTTTTAAGTTTTATTATGTTTTTAATTCAAGTTAAAACTTTTCTAAAAACAATCAAGTTAAAGACTAAATTACGGCTTTGCTTGATATATGAATTTGATTATTATCTGTAAACTTGTAAATTGTAATCATCATTTATAGTTTGAATTTGCTTTTGACTTGTTCTTATTTTTATGTAGAAAAAGACATCTTCTTAAAATTTGACAATGATGTCATTATCAAACAATATCAATCTATGAAAACCCGTACAGAACCGTTGTAAAATTATGGTGTTTTAGTATTTGACTTTAATGAAAACTCTTATTCCTATAATTTTATTTTTATCTTTGATTTTGATGCTAGCATAAATGTTTTTTTGAACATTCTTTCTTAATTAAATTTGCCCCACCTGGATGTCAAAGCTAGATTCGCGGCATTCGCCCCTGCAGATACCCCCATGTAAATGGAACATCTAAAGAAACCTTTCCAGGCATGACTTAAAGCTAGACACACACCAGAAAGAATTCATGTTTGGAGGGTGAGAAAGGAGATTAAGAGAGTTTCTTCAATTTAAGAATAAAATCAGTTCAAATTCAAATTGTTTTATGCTTTCTTTTGTTTTTACAAATTCTGAGCAATTAAAATCAGTCTAAACTCTCTGATCTTACTTATATTTTTCATTTAAAAATGTTGTAATAATAGTTGTTCTGCCTTGCTGTAAACTTAAATAAAGAATTTACTAAATATTCTTCACCTAAATTTTATTGTATGGTTGATTGTCAAGACCAATAGAAAAAGAAATTTAATGTATATAGTGCATGAAACATTATTCATTGAAAGCTGAAATTGAGAGAAGATAAAACCTTTCTTGTAAGAATAATATGATTTGCCATAATTTGTACATTTATCAATACGTTTCCATAAATATGATAATTAATATGTAGAAAAATAGTAGTATAGTGTTTGTGTGTGTATGAAAAATATACTTTACACACACATTAACATGCACGAATGAGATAGTTGTCACATTTAATAATATATTATTATAACTAACAACATAAATATGCCAGCAAACATAAATGTAAAGTAGTTTTTATCTTAATTTAGAAGTATCTTTCTTTATATGCATGATTAAAGTTTAAGGTACATATATTTTTTGAGAAAATATAAAATAGAAAGGAAAAAATTGTTGAGTGAATCTAGACGCCCTAGGCAGCGGCGATTAGGCCCTCTAGGCGGAAACTAGACGCTCTAGCCGGTTGACTAATTCACGTGGATCGGATGCCAAACTAATTAATCAAGATGCGTAGACAAAAATTGGGACGTCCGACTACCACCTACCGCCTAGGTCTGGATTAGTCGGGCACCTAGAATGATTTTTAGAACAATGATTGTATGTAATAATTAATGAACATAAAATACTACGTACACTCGTACAGTGGCGTATAATGAAAGCTTTATCCCTCTCGATCGCAACCCAACACCTTTTTTTTCTTTTTCTTTTTTTCTGCTCCATTAATGGGAGCTCAGACTTTTTTTAAAAAAAGAACGATTTTATTCATAAAGATAAAAGATATAGTATATGAAAAGAAATAAAATGAAAATACAGAGTAAAAGAAAATATAAAAAACTAAAACTAGACCCAAGGGAAATCTCTGGAGTGTGATCTAGTCCGCATGCTGTGTCGCCTTTTGTTTTGCTGAGATTTCCTGTAAAGTTTAAGTTGTGTGTTCAGGTTGTCTGTTGGCAGACAGTTTTCGGCGGTGACGAACTTTGCTTTACGGCAAATCGTACTGTTGAATATAGAATTACTAATTTCTTCCTCATATGATAAAGGAGGGTGTCGATCGCTTTCAGTTGCATGTCCCATAAAATCATCTGAAAAGAAAGAATCGTCAGAATAATCAAAGTTGTCTGAGACTTCAGAGTAAGCCTGAAGAAGTGGAATTTTTGGTTTCTCAACGGAGATGAGTTGTTGTTTCTTGCCAAAGGCTCTCTGAACCTCATAGTTAAATATGAGTTTTGAAATGGATATCTCCTCATTAACAGCCGAATTGTCATGCTCCCAATGCATGTGTTCCTCCTGCATATAGAAGTTAAATATAAGAATAAATTCAAAATAAGATAATTAAGAGTGTATTATTTCATAAATATAAGATATGTAATCATATTACAATAATAAAATGATTAAAAAAATACTAAATTTGCTATGTTTAACTCTTATTTAAGTAATTTTCTCAAATTTTATCAAAAATTTCATTTTTGAAATTGATCTCCTTTTATACTTATTTGTACATTTATAATTAATATTAAATTTAATAAAACAATACTAATAAATTAATAATGTGATACGCTATTTATGAAGTACTCCATGTGATTAAGCTGTAATTTAGTTTGGCCACCACTCAAAAATATGTCTAATTACGTCACTGAATACGTGTACATGAAAGACTAAATCAAAATGGTACATTCTTTTCTCGACACAGATAGTCGCCACAATGATTAAGTGTGGGGACAAGATTAGGAACTAGTTTACATGAATAATGAAAGTGGTTTTAGTCCTTAATTACGAATGTATTTGGCATGCGAAGCTACCTTTCTACTACGTATTATTTAGATGGCAAGCTGTCATTATGTTAACGTAGCTAGCTTGACTGGCGTTTGTAAATTTCTGTATAAATAAAGTTCCCTAGCCTGCACCGATCATTGTTACTTGAGCAAAGAAATTAGATCGTACACTACTATACTCCCCCTCTCAGGTTTTAGAACTTAAAAATGATTTTTTGTATTAATGTTGTGTCATCTTTCTCTTTGTGTTGTCTCACTAAGATCATACTAAATTTGTTAAAATTTGTGTAGTATTAAATAATTCATATTTTATTCTTATTTTATCAATTCAATATATATCAATCCCACCAAAACATTTTTCTTAATTACCGTATCTCTTCTTCATGTACTAACGTTAGTGACCTAATTACTCCATTTTAGCTCTGGTCTGAATCCAAAATGATTCCGAAATGGCGGGGACTTTTTGTCGCTATTGTTTCCGCAGCACTTAGTGGTGGAGGAGTATATCTTGGGGCTACAGCACATAAAAAGGTAAATGAATACTCTTTATGTACTCATACTTACATATACCCGTCATGTTTTAATTTAATGTTTCGTTTACTTGAAATTGATACATGAATCATGGATAGCATATATAAAGGAAAATTTTCCAAATAAGAGAAACATGTTTTTTGCTTGGAAGAAGTAACATGTTCTTATTCACCGAAAACGAGTAATTAATACAAGATTGAAAATTATTATAATGTTAAAAGGCTTGATAATGTACAAATGTAACAGTAATTATTCCTATTTTAGAGAATAAATTAAAAGTGTATTAATATTATTTTGGAATTCAAGAACATTTTTATTTTTATTTCAGACAATTTACTTACATATATATAATGATCCCTATATATCTGGCCCGTAGCGACACCCATTGGTTAATACGTAGGGTTTTCTACCTAAATCTGATTTCACATGTTCAATTTCTAACAACTATTTTTTCAATAATTGTTTTTCAATCTGATTTCAATAACCCTTATTTTTTCTACTTTTTCTCTTCTTTTCATACTTTTGACACTCTCTCCTACTATTTCTAAACTACTCCATATTTATTTCTCCTACTATTTCACTCTTAAATGGTGTTTCCTTGCCTATTGTAGTGAACTTTCAAATACAAAGGAAGAATTATTACTACGCAATATTATACTTGGTATTTTAAGTTTTAGCATAAAAACAAATATTATTACGAATATTATCGATCACTACCATTAATTTGTTATTTTGGGATATGACAATGATCGAATAGGTGGAGGACGGTCACGGAGATGAGGTCGGGCGGCTTTGTATAATAGCACTAGTCTTGCTCGGGTTATCATGTGTGCTTACCATTGTCTTTGCGTGCTGGGTTTGGGGCTCTAAGCAGCTTGATGATGAAGTTTTTGGCAGCACCAAAAAAGCCTTCAAGTTTATTACAACATTTATGTTCCTGATAACGGCGTCAGTTTTCCTCTTGATTGGATATATTATATCACTCCATAATACTCTGCTGCAGTCAGTATATATATGTTTAACTAAGGTAATGTTGATGAAAGGTAAACCTAAGAGTTACTGTCTCTTTCATTTGAAGTGCTTTCGAGTCGAATTTTTTGATGAAATTTTGTGAGCGTGGTCTCCATAAAGTGTAGGTTATGCCCACTAAATTTCAGATTAAAATTCAAAAGGAGTGTTTATTAAATAAATTATTGAAAAAACCACATTTTTAGGCCTAAAAAATTGTGCAATTTTCAAAAAATTATTTAACTAACTTATCGATTGAATTTTAATATGAAATTTGGTGGATATAATATACACTTCATGAAGAACATGCTCACCAAATTTCATCAAACAGTTTAACCCGGAAGCAGCTCAAATGAAAGAGGCCTAAAATTGTAACTTTTAGGCATACCTTACCTGAACATTTTCCTGTTTAACTAACTTGTTCATAACCCACTTTTTAATTATTACATATCATTAATCCCCATTCGTGTTTAATAATTTCTGAATTAGAATTTTTTCTCAAGAAATCGCCTATACAATGTTTTTTTCTTTTCCCCGGCTTAATCCACACAAGGTGGGGGGTGTCGGGGAACACCTCCCTTATTTATCAAAATAAAGTTGTGAGTACAAGAGATGTGAAGTTAAATTTGATGAGATTAAAGAACAAGAAAAGTGAAAGAAAAATGAAAACGTACATCAACAATTGAAATTCTTTGAGGGGATCCCAATTGCAGCTGATATTGATCTATTATATTTGTTATTAAACATGATGGTGTTCTTTAGATATGGCCTAAATATTCTTTCCTCTGGACGAGATAACCTAAAATGTTGTAGAGCTGCTGCCAGTTTTTGGGGAGAGTCGTCAAACCTTTCATCGACCGCATAGAGGAAGTAATCTGTCTCATTTTGAGGTTTTTTTTCAATGGCTTCTGGTGAGCATTAGATGTGAGCTATACCCGACATGGTAGTATTGTTGTGCATCTTCTGATTCTACTAATGGTGTGTTAAGCGGATGCATGTTTTTGTTTCTTCTTCTTCTTTGTACGTGCGTGAATCCTTCGTGGTGGTACTCTTCAACAAGAGAAAATTCTTTATGACCTGAAACAGTAAAAGTTTCTAAAGAGGTGTCCTCAGAAAGGATTTCATCACTAGATAGTTTTGGGGCTAGTGTAGTATCTAATTAAAGTCGGTGGATCAGAGAGAAGCTCATCATTTCCAGTTAGGGCCTCACAGCTAATCAAATGGTGATCAACTCTGGTTATCGCCTTTTTACAGGTAGTCATGGGGAGTACATCACAAATAATGGCTGCCGGGCTTAGGACAGCATAATGACAAGCGGTTGGGACAATATTTGAGGCTACAATGGCCTTAGAAGCATCACTCGCATAGTGTTCTTTAAACTAATGGAGTTTAAAGCCTAAACAGCGTAAAATTGTCAAAACAATCGTACCATTTGTACATGTTTAAAATTTTCAAAATAGGAGTTTCACTTATTATTTTTAGCGCTTTAACTATAGAGGCAGTGTTTAGAGTTTGATTCTCCAAATAAGAGTAAAACACTAGCTAAAAACCGCAAAAAATAGAACTCTATTATTATAAATTCTCTAAGTAGAAATAATTATTTGTGTTTGACAATACCCTATAGTCCTTCCAGCCCTAGGCCAGCACCTCCCAAAACCACTGCCCCTAGCTAGCCAATGTCGGTTGGCAGAATCCGCCGAATATTTCCACAATGCATTTAACTTGTCAACATTCTGTTGCCGCTGTCGGTCGTTGGCACTGCCTCGTCCACCAACGGACTGACCCGATTGTGCAAGAGAATTATGAGATAATTAAAGAGAAAGGGTATTTATGGTAGAAACTTAATGTTTAGCCTTATTTAGCGATAATTATTATTAGTGCGATTATGTTTAGGTTTGTCCCCGTTTAAAATAAGTTGTCTTTGCCTTTTCAAAATATAATAACGTCATCTATATCAATCTCTCGTGTTTATGGGATGTATATGGGTGTGCAGGATCGCATTAGTTGGAGGAGTGGCGGGTCTTTTGATTGGGAGGAAAAGAGATCCTGCACCGGATTCCTACTCTAAACAAATGAAGTACCTTACCGTGGGATCCAGCTTTTGCGGCCTTCAAGCGGTTTTGTCCTTAGCATACTCTGCTGCCTGTTGGTATATAACTGGAAGACCTTTTGGCGGACCTTTTGGCGGAAATTCTGAACGGCCCAACGCTAGGGTTCCGGAGGTTCCATTACAGAGGAGGATCGCATCACGAAGCAGGGCCACCTTCTCGACTGTTTATAGTTCCGTGACTTCTTTCTTCACAACCACAAATTCATCACGTTAATTGTGTCAAACTCTCGTGTCTTATGATTATTCATGTACAAAACCACCTCCAAAAACAACTTTAACAATTTGAAAGTTAGTTGTTCCAACATTATACTCCGTAATTGAATATGCAAGCAAATTTATCAAGATTTCTAACTTATGCAAAAGTATTAATCACTTTTCATTAAACTGGCAATTAAATTTGTTCATAGAGAGGTTTTGAGCATAAATAATAACAATACAAAAGAGTTTGATACATTTTTATATCACAAGGAGGCGGAATTTACATTTTTACGAGAGGATTTTATATACGACTAGTATTCTACCCGTGCGATGCACGGGAAATAATCATATGGAACAATATATGGCACAACATAAAAATTAAATATTTAAAACGCTAAATTAATATATAAATTAACTTTAGATGTATATATTATAGCCACCTCCTGTAATATTACCAATATAAATATATAAATGAAAACAACATTTCTTTAAAATTTCAGAATAATAACAATTTCAAAACAAAATGTTTTACAAATTTCGGAATACTTCCTTAAATACAACATTAGTTGTTACATTAGTACTTTTCCCTTCTGCATCACATATAGCTATTTTCAAACCTGCGGGATTAGTGACATGTGAAAGCGCAACATATAACTGACCATGACTAAAAACCATTTTTTTCAAAATTAATCCAACATTGGACAATGATTGTCCTTGACTCTTATTTATTGTCATAGCGCAGCGTATGAGACAATCAAAGGAAATTGTCTTCTTTCAAACTTGAAAGGCAACCTCACTTCAGATGGAGTCAAAGACATTCTAGGTATCAAAACCTTTTCACCTGCACTCAAACCTGTCAAAACTTTTGCTTCCAAAATATGCTTACCTAATCTGGTAATAACTATCCTAGTCCCATTACATAGCCCTTGAGAGTGATCAATGTTCCTCATTAGCATCACCGGCGTTCCAATTTTGAGATGCAGTTCATGATTTGGAACTCCTGAAGCTTTAATTCCATTCAAAAATTCTAGAGTGTGGATATCTGCTAAAAAGTCAGGATTTGAATCTGATTTACACGGGCTATCACAACTAAGATAGGTTCTCATCTCAGAACCATTTAAGGAAAGCATGTAATCATTGATGGAATCAACAACTTGGAGAGTGGGTGCCAATATTGCTCTTTTTGTAAATAACTGGGATCGTCATGAACAGCATCAAAGGAAGGATAAATGCAATCAACCATTTTTGCTATAGGATTATCAAAATCTTTTAATAAAATATATTTTAAAAATAATTTTTACTTAAATCAGCAGAAACAGCCCAAGCAGCCACTTCAGCCAGAACTTCATAAATTTCTGCAGAATCAGCCAAAACAGTCGATTTTCGTACTACCAAACAGGATCCTAATATATAAATCCAGATCTGAATCAGTCCAGATCCTAATCCAACAACCTAAAACATGGTCCAGTCCGATCCAAGCCCAACATCCGGACCCAATTTCCCAAAAATAAGTCCTAAGCACTAAACCTATAGACCCAGTACCCGATCCCCAAATACAGACTCCAGAATTCCCATTCCTCCATCTTTCTTATTCGATGCTAACTCCACAAATCCACCACGATCTACAACCCAATCACGAACACAGCAATCGAAAGACGCCGCTAAAGCTACACAGAACTCCGCCTCGACCGATCACAGTTTTTGAGCTCTCAGGCGGCTTCTATGTTGACCGATCATGCGGCTCTAGATAAGCTAAGTGTTTTTTCTTACTAATTGTAAACTACACCAATAAGATTCTCTTATATGAATGCATTTTAATTTCTAATCTGTTTTACTTAAAATGATGTTATTGTTAGTATACTATGCATGGTAATCTGTAAATCCCACTTTAATTAAGTCAACCTCTAATAGGAACAATCTTATACGTTTTTTAAATAAGAAGTGAAATGTTCAACATTTAGCCTGGATCTGGTTTTTGTCCTGTATATATAGATTTTAGTGTTTTTTCAAAAATCCACATCTGAATCAGTCCAGATCTTACGATGTACATTATTTTTTTCTAATTTATTATCAATTAGCTTCAAAATACAAAATCATTTTCAATCAATAGTAACAACATTCTGCACTATACTTAATGTCCTTTTGTGTACCAACTTTGATATGAAATTTATGCCTAATATAAATGTTACATAGGATCAACACATTCTAATATATACACACACAATTGCATATACAATTTTGAGACTTGTTACCTGCTTAATACAACAGCAGCAGGTCAATTTACATATACAACTTTAAAATAATAATTGTGAAATTACGTAGTCTGACATATGGTAAACTATGGTTGTTAACAGTATCATACTTTACCTTTATCATGGATGATATGTACACCTCTTTTTCTTCTATATTGTTCACACTCCGTAAGTTTCACCATTTTATTTTATTTTCTAGCAGGCCTGCAAAATGGTGGAGGTAGTTTAAGCCTTTAAGGTATGTAAAATAACCTCCTTCGATTAGAAGAAAGAGAACACTACCAGAAAAATGCCAAATTGGCACAACTTTTGGCACGGCGGCTTTCAATTTTTTTCCCTGCCTACCAGTTTTGGCACGGCCTTGGCACAAACTCCAAAGTCCTGCCACCTGAGGCCTGCCAAATCAAATGGCACGCGTATATATTCCGTGCCAAATGTCGGCACGACGTCTGGCACAAACGAGATACATCCCAAAAAGTTGACGGAATGCCCAAAAAGTTTCTGTCAAATTTTGGCATGGCGAGAATTGTGCCAAACATCGCATTGAAATTTGAATTTTGGGGCAAAAAATAGAAGAGAGGTTTGAATTTTGGCACGGGGACGTCCAGCCAAAGGTATGTCCTCATTTTGAAAACGATTGAATATGGCACGCTGGGGCCGTGCCAAACCTTTCCAGTTATATCGAATTATTTGAATATTGGCACGGAGGTAATGTGCCAAGAATGCCATCTGTGATAAGTAATTTTAAACATGGGCACCAAGAAGTCGTGCCAAATAGAAATTAATTATAAAAGAATTAGTCCATATATAAATATAGATATACATGTATATCTATAAAGATATATGGGCCAATTTTTTTTTTTTTTTGTATCAGAACTATTATTCCAACCAAACACAATCTTCATACACAAGAAAAGTAAGCAACTACAACAATCAAACACCATTCCAACCACACATACTTCATACAAAATAAACAGTAAACATCATTCCAACAAACACATTAAACGTGCAAAAAATCAACATTGATATCATCAACATTGAACATAAGTATCCATCAAGATCTCCCCAACAAGTCCATCAAAAAACAACAAAAATAATTAAGTGTTTGGGAAGGAGGCAATAACATTTCAAAGCATCAGGAGGCAGGTGTTAACATTACAGACCATTAAGAGGGACAAAGTCATCACCGAAAAAGTCATCAACATTCAATGCACCTGGCTGAGTCGGGGCTACTTGAGTCAGGGAGGCACGCTGATTCGGGGATAGCTGAGTCGTGTCTGGCTGAGCCTGGAAGGGAAACTCGGGTATCACTATGTTGGGGTTGGTAGTTTTTAATTGCTGTAAAATAGCAGAAAAGCAACCCGACATAGCTGCCATTTGTGCATCTTGTTCCTTCTGTTTTTTTTCTTGTTGAAGTATTTTATCATTTTGGGCCTGCAATTTTTGTTGAATTGCTTCAACTTCTTCAGGAGTAGGACCAAGGGGGCCGATCACCGAGGATGAATCCAGCACTGTAGTTTTAGCCCGACTGCCATGCCCGAACTGGCGGCTCTTGTACTTTGGCGTGGCTTTCAAAAACAAATCATTGTCTTCGATTGCGGATATTTGACTATCCGATTGAGTGGCAGCTTGCTCCTTCAGTTCATTGTACTTGCTCTAAAAAAATTAGAAAAAAGTTAATACATTACATAAAACATTTTATGTTAATACATTACATAAATCATTTTATAATTAAAAAAACTACTCACAAGGACTTCTTGAACACGAGGCGGCGGATCACCCGTCTTCGGGACATAGCACTTTTCATAAACTTCAATAGAAAGCGGCTCCCGATTCAACTCCGCGGCCTTGAAAAATATACTGATTAATGACATATTTTAATTAAAAAAAATGCCAATACAACTATGACTATTTTTACCAATTTTTCAGCATGTGCATCCACACAACTTCTACCACCTCTGTACTGAGACTGGATGGCAGCAGGGGTATTCCTATTTTTACTTCCAACAGTACTCTTCTTCTTAAACTCGTCACTGGCCCAATATATTGTCATTGTCAACCAATCATTATCCGCTACCCATTCGGGCTTCACAGCTGGCTTCACATCACTTCCTCTATGTTTCTTTAGCTTCTTACTCAACCAATGGGAGCCTCGGGACTCAAACAGCTCCCTCATCTTTTCGTTGAGCCGAGGATCCCATCGGTATGAGTTCTAATACAATACACACAAATAAATATTAAAATAAAACCTATTAGATTTTATAGCAAACACAAAAACTTATTAATTCAATTAAATGTAATCAATTACCGTAAACAAAAACCACCATCGATTTCGCGGCTCTTCCGAAGCATTTTGAAATGAATTCCAAGACCCGTGAAAATTTCCCATAATTATCTCCTTAATTCTGGTCAACACAAATTGCTTGCTGCATGTTCATTTTTACATTATACACAGTCATGTTTTCAAAAGACTACTGAGTACATTACAAAACACAACCAATCGGTACAAGGCCCAACTGAAAATGTGTTATTACAATGAAATGCTTCATGGCTTTTTATTTATATTCAAAAGGTGGTCAATATGGGCAGCTGAAATGGGTTGATTAGTCCACAATCTGCTTGCAAATCATAAAAGCACATCTACATACACGTTTTTCTTCTTCACACGTAAACTTACAAGATTTTTGTCCATATACATAAAATATGGTTTGTTAGAACTTCGAACATGTTGGATTGGGATTGAAATCCTCCAACGTATGGTACCTTTGCTATATAGGTTTGTTGGGGATGGGGTACAAAAACATTGTATAATTACTTCGTATTCCTCTCATATTTTCCTAAAAAAAAAGGTTATATGAATGTTCTGTTGGAAAACAATAAAAGGGGCCTAATATGTAATTAATTAAAATGTGTTTACCATCAAATAAATAATATAGTGGCTATTCATGAAATAATAAAAGTGTAGATACCAGGATAATATATTTCTTTTGGTGACGGGTCAAATTAAATATATTACACTAAAGTGATACAACGGTTATGACCCCCGGTGCGTGTAAACTAAGAGATAACAGTAAAGATATTGTAACGGAAAATGGCCTAATAAATTATTCTAAATAATATCATCAATTGGTAATAATAATAAAGGAGTTATTAGAATACTAAGGGCCAACCGTTACAATATTCCACTAGTCCTATATATATCCCATCAATAGGTAGGACTAGGACAATCAACATCTCATACGGTACATAGCACTGGAAGGTTAGTCCGATCAATCGTGTTGGATTCCGGGTCTTCTCAAAGTGTTAATGCAAATGAATTCTCAAGGTATTGTTCTAATCTTATTTCATACATATTTGATTTCATGGATTTATATGGATTTAGCTATTATATATTTATATATATATCACAGAGTGCTCTTCATGTCAGGCCGGCCTGACGGGCTGCCCCGTCCGGCCGAGCCCGTTTGGGCACCTTCCCGGTGGAATTTTTTGATGAAATTTTTTGAGCATGTTCCTCGTCAAGTCTAGTTTGTCCATACCAAATTTCAGCTCAAAATTCGATCGGGAAGGTCGTCAAATGATTTTTGCAAGTTAACTGGTCCGGAAAATACATATTCCAGACCAGTTAACTTGCAAAAATCATTTGACGACCTTCCCGATTGAATTTTGAGCTGAAATTTGGTATGGATAAACTAGACTTGATGAGGAACATGCTCAAAAAATTTCATCAAAAAATTCCACCGGGAAGGTGCCCAAACGGGCTCGGCCGGACGGGGCAGCCCGTCAGGCCGGCCTGACATGAACATTCCTCATATATCACATATGAAGCTTTGTTGATATATGTATGAAGATGAAACTTCATGTCAGGCCGGCCTGACGGGCTGCCCCGTCCGGCCGAGCCCGTTTGGGCACCTTCCCGGTGGAATTTTTTGATGAAATTTTTTGATCATGTTCCTCATCAAGTCTAGTTTGTCCATACCAAATTTCAGCTCAAAATTCGATCGGGAAGGTCGTCAAATGATTTTTGCAAGTTAACTGGTCCGGAAAATACATATTCCAGACCAGTTAAGTTGCAAAAATGATTTGACGACCTTCCCGATCGAATTTTGAGCTGAAATTTGGTATGGACAAACTAGACTTGATGAGGAACATGCTCAAAAAATTTCATCAAAAAATTCCACCGGGAAGGTGCCCAAATGGGCTCGGCCGGACGGAGCATCCCGTCAGGCCGGCCTGATGAGAAGAGCACTCTATGTATGAATATCCTACAATTGGTATCAGAGCCTACCATTATAGATCCATGGAATCGTTTAAATCCACGTATGAGTTCATCAGTAATGTCTAGAATTCATTTTAATTGTGATGTCCGAAATTTCATATTATTGAAATGATATGGTGTACGTTATTACCCAGTATTATTTTAGTGCCGATTTGTGAAATTTTCTAGGGGATTCATATATGTGTATATTGTATACATCTCAAAACTTTATCAATGGTTCAGTGCTTCAATTTTTTGATCGGATGAAACATTGACCAGCTAATATCCGAAATTTCTTCATTCTTTATTCTAGCTTGAATGTGAAATGAACAGTTTCATAAGCATACAATCATTGATTGAATAATTTAATGGTTTGTTAAGTTTTTAAGCTTATGGGTGCATCTTTAATGCTTCAGTTTTATGTTTTTAAGCGAATTCTCAAGTTGTGTATTGGATTGCATGTATACGTATGTAGAAGCAATTTGTTTTTTGAATCAATTTGATGAATTTCATGAAATCTCAAGAATTTGTCCGCTGCAAATTTTTAATTCGGTGCTTCAATTTTGATGGCATGAATCTTTCCATAAGCTTTATTGTAAACTCCGTATGTAAGTATGGAGTCTCAAGGATAATGAAGTGGCAACCGTTTTTGCCATTACTTTAATGCTCAAATGTAACTGATATGCCATTGTTACATCGAATTGCGTGTCTGGATAAAAGTTTTATTCCTTCTTAAATTTGCATTCATTATAATTAATGAACTAATTTTGTGAATCACGTTGATTCAATAATACGTCGATCCGCAAGCCATTTTTTCGAAGGGTAATATTGCGGTAAGAATTTTGAACTGTGATGAAATTGTAAAATAAAAGGAGTTTAATATTTAAATGAGTATATAGAAACAATATGTCACTAAAGTGATCCTATTGTGTAAGTTGCTCATATAAAAATATTAAACATAGTATATACTCCGTATATAGTTCAAGTAAATATTAATCGGCCCAAAGGAAGATTAATATTTTATCAAGTTATATATATATACATTTTGGTAATAATAAATATATAACAATTATAAGGTTGCACTTTAAGAGAAAAAGTCAACCCAAAGGTGGATTTTTCTTTTATATGTATTATTGTTATATTTTATTGTTACAACAAGAGTACCACTAGCAATTAGTATTATTGTCCAAAGATGAAATACTAATGGTGCATTTGGTATCTTGTGATGGGTTAAAAATTGTTTTACAATTTCACTAAAGCATATGTTCATTTTCATTGTTCTTTCTACAGTTAATTTTTCGAGCATATCTGCCAATCTCAACTCCATCCATGTCCTAAATGGTACTAACTTTAAGGAATGGAAAGAAAATATTCTAATAACTTTGGGCTGCATGGATCTTGACTTAGCATTGAGGGTAGAGCAACCTGCTTCTCTTACGGATGCTAGTACCCAAGATGAAAAAAGGTACTATGAGAAATGGGATCGCTCGAATCGCTTAAGTCTTATGATCATAAAGCGTGGAATTCCAGAATCTTTTAGGGGTGCTGTATCCGATGAGGTTACTAATGCCAAGGATTTCCTTTCTGAAATTGAGAAACGTTTTGTTAAAAGCGATAAGGCGGAAATAGGCATGTTATTAAAAGACTTTACTTCCAAAAGGTATTCAGGAAAAGGAAATATAAGGGAGTATATTATGGAAATGTCTTATATTGTTTCTAGGCTCAAGACACTTAAGATTGAGATATCGGAAGATGTTCTCGTACACATAGTCTTGAACTCTCTTCCTATTGCATTTGATCCTTTTAAGGTCAGTTATAACTGCCAAAAGGAGAAGTGGTCTCTTAATGAGCTCATTTCATATTGTGTGCAAGAGGAAGAGAGGATGAAACAAAATAAGATAGAAAGTGCTCACTTGGCTAGTACCTCTAAGGATAAGGGTAAAAAGAGGAAGAAAACTCCCATTAAGAATGAAGCTGCTAAGGGTCCAGTACAGATGAAACATACGGAAGGTGAAACAACCTGTTTCTTCTGTAAGAAGTCTGGACACATGAAGAAGGATTGTACCAAGTATCATGCTTGGAAAGTGAAGAAAGGTACGGTCCTTGCCTTGGTTTGTACTGAAAACAATTTGGCTTCAGTGCCTAGAAATACTTGGTGGTTAGACTCCGGTTCAACATCTAACATCAGTATTTCTATGCAGGGTTGTCTGAGCCACCGCAAGCCAAATGATGCTGAAAGATGCGTCTATGTGGGAGATGGAAAAGCGGTGCATGTGGAGGCTATTGGGCATTTTAGATTGTTATTATCTACTGGTTTCTATTTGGATTTAAAAGACACTTTTATTGTTCCGTCATTTAGGCGGAATTTGGTTTCTGTTTCTTATTTGGACAAATTAGGTTATCATTGTTCCTTTGGAAACTTCCGGTTTAATTTGTCTTTAAATTCAAATATTGTGGGGACTGGTTCTTTTATGTCATATGACAATCTTTACATGCTTGAAACAACAACTTCATATAATAATGCTTTGAATGTTGACACCCGAGGCACTAAGCGAAAGGTTGATAATGCACAATCTGGTTTTTTATGGCACAAACGATTAGGTCACATCTCTAAAAATAGAGTTGAACGTCTTGTGTCCGATGGAACACTTAATTCCATTGATTTTTCTGATTTCAATACTTGTATTGAATGCATTAAAGGGAAACAAACCAAAAATAAAAAAAAAAAGGTGCATATAGAGCTACGGATGTCTTAGAATTAATACACACGGATATTTGTGGGCCATTTCCTACTCCTTCATGGAATGGTCAACAATATTTTGTGTCATTCATAGATGATTACTCTAGATATGCATACTTATTTCTTATACATGAAAAATCTCAAGTCTTGGACGTGTTTAAGTCTTACAAAGCGGAAGTTGAGAATCAACTCAACAAACGCATAAAGAAAGTCAAATCCGACCGTGGTGGTGAATACTATGGGAGGTATGACGGCTCAGGTGAACAACGTCCAGGGCCTTTTGCCAAATTTCTAGAGGAATGTGGGATTGTCCCTCAATACACTATGCCGGGTTCACCTAGCATGAATGGTGTAGCTGAGAGACATAATAGAACCCTTAAAGAAATGGTAAGAAGTATGATTTCTCATTCTATCTTACCGGAATCCCTCTGGGGTGAGGCATTAAAGACTGCAGCTTATATTCTTAATCGAGTGCCAACTAAAGCAACTACT